TCAACGGTCAACGTCGAAAGTCAACGATTTTTCACCGGAAGTCAACGGTCAACGCCAGAAGTCAACGGTCAACGCCGGAGTCAACTCATAATTATTTTATTATTTAATTAATATATATTTTAAGGAGTACAACTCATTGGATCCTCCCCCTATATACATATATATATATATATATGGGTTGGTTCAAATAAAAACTAGTCTTTGTGTGATAACGTGAGAACCATATTAGATGTTATTTTTAATTGTGTATGATGTTATTTTTAATATTACATGGTGCTATCATTTTCACACATGCTAAAACAAAATTGTGTTGCTATTTTTAAGAAAATATATCTTGGTTAAAAATAGCACAAAACACAATCAATCATAGCAGTATATACAATTAAAAATAGCGGTTCTCACAGTTCTCACGCTAGGACTCATTTGTACCACATTCTATATATATATAATTTATGAAAAATCTATCACAATATCTCTCGTACATTGCACAAGTCATCTTATACATAATTCATATCTAATATTATTACATCTTTTGATTTGTTTTACATTTATTTTATAGTATATATAGGTGGTATAATTTATAAAATCTATCATGATCTCTATGCATAATTCATATCTAAAATTATTGCATCTTTTGATTTGTATTAAATTTATTTAATAATATATATAGATGTTATTATTTATGAAAATCTATCACGATCTCTCTCGTACATTGCACAAGTCATGCACTATCTAACTGTTGAATAAGACATATGAACTCAATCTCGAAATCTTTATTTCTATAATCAATTTTCGTTCTGTATAATAATCGCTAATTTGACTTATTATCCATTCATACTTATTTGTTTTTTCATGCTAATTAATTCTCAAATTCATCTTGCTTTAATTGTCACGTCAAACAATAATTTTTCTTTTTGTATTAAACCCATTTCTCATCAAAATCAAAAAAATATTCTTGGAATATAGCTTTCGCATCAAATATTACAAATTAAGCCAATTATTATTTTATATTCTATTTGAATAAAATATTGTAAAATCATCAATTTTCTAAAATTTTTGAATAAAATATTGTAAATATTCTATTTTTTAAACACTATATTATTGCCACCAATTTATCAGAATAATTTTTTACCCTTAAATTACATTAAAGTGTCTGTGATAAAATTTTAGAATATTTTAGTGAACTTGTTATCTTTTTTTTTTCACAACGATAGAGATACTATATTAATAAAACCGCACAACGTGCGAAGAGAAAGCAGC